ACACCTTGTAAATCAAGATCTTGATGCAGAATTTGCCCAATGTCTTGGTCGGCTTCTTGATCTTCTCTTATTTGTTTGGTAGTCCATTTATCATCAACGATAAGACCCGTTCTTCTCACAGCTGGAACTGTGTTTTTCTCAGGCATATCGATTCTTTGACAAAGCTTGCAGTCCTCTTTGCATAATCGTCTAGATAGAGCGTCAGCATTTTCATGCAGGTTTCCAGGTCAATGTTTAGAGTTAGAATCTCTAGAACTCCAAAAGCGTTGGGGGAACGATCCCTAGATGGAGAGGACATCCTTGGTCTACAATCCCATTGCATATGTCCAAGCTTAGGGCACCGGTAACATTTTACTCGGTTTCTCGGTGTTGGTGTTTGTCTGGAGTCGTTTTCCATTTGTCTAACTTCTAGTAATAGTTTCCGCATTTTCTCAATAAAATTTTTCATAACCTTCTCGAAGCAACCATCCTCTTTTGACGATTGTTTATCCTGTCAGTCTTCAATGGACACTGCTCGTATTCTGAGTCGTGAGGCACCAATGATTGTTCCCAGTTCCAATGCTCGGACAAAAAGCTTTGCTTCTTCGTCTGAACTTGGACATTCTCAGGTTTTCCTGGATCTTGGAATCTCTGAGACCATCAATGAACGCAGATACTGCCATCAACGTCTTCCCCAGCTGCAGGAAACGCCAAACTCACTAGCCTATTAACTTCCGATTTGAATTCTTGTAACCTCTCGCGGGGTATTTGAATTCTTGATTTAATTTGATTTTCTGCTTGAATTAAGTATTTGAATTTTCGTGAATGAAGTTAGAACTTCGACAGCAAATTTAACATTCTCAAAAGAGTCGAGTGTATAAAATATCTCTGGAATATGAAACAAAAATATTCTGAGATATACCTACATATGATCTCCAACCTTAATCACATCCGTCGCTTGATTCATAGTAATGAAGAACTACCTTCTGGGATACTATATTTGGACGTTGTACTGTTGCCGCGATAGCTCTGATAGAGTTGGATGAGTTTAGTGGGCTTTAATTGAATGCTTTTTTTTTAGAAGGTAAAAGATCGTGGAATCATCATTTCAGGAAATAGCAACGCAATATAAAATCCATAGAGATCGCTACTCGAGGACATATATTACGCAATGTGGTTTCACAACAGTTGCTTTCTTAGCTGTTGTAATTCGGTCATGCAAATCGTTGCAGCAAATCCATGATCCTGACGTTCGCAGACAAATTATCCAGAATCAAAGTGGATGATAACAGCTAGTCTAAAATAAAATAAAAATATATAAATTAGATAAGGCCCGGTCACAGATAAAAACGCATTCTATAATCATATTGGTCGGCCAGTTATCCACCGACTAATGAGATTCTAGAGATTGGTAAATTTATCTTGTAGATAGATTCCAGTTCGTTTATCTGAAGATGAATAAACCGAGCCTAAACCTATACCTTATAAAACTATCAATAAATTTTTTACTACTAAATGAATAAATACTTTTTGCCTGTAATGGTCTCCGAACCGCAATTCTAACGTCTGACTCTGACTTAGATGCTACGTATTCTGTTGGTAGATTGAAGGAATGGGCTGAAGAAGATCTAAGGCACACTATCAGTGCTGTAGCTTTTTCTTGCTCGTTGGTGTTTACAGAGGCTTCAAATTGTCAGATATACAGGATCCAGGACGTAGAACCATCAAAAGTTGGTGGTTTTATCGTCATACTAGAGAATGCTCCAACACAACCGGGATTGATGAACTGTATTTCTAATTTATTCACCTTATTCTCAAGTGCTTGAACTTGGTCCTCAACTTTTTGTCTTAATTGCTGAACATCCTCTTTAATTTCTTGAACATCTTCTTTAACCTCGACTTCAACTTCGTTAATCTTTTGTTCCAGGTTAGCGACAGATCCTTGTATGGTTTGAAATATTTTCTGCAGTTGTCCAATGTCTTCTTGCCGTTCATGTCGCCGAGCATGTTCTTGTTGTCGTCTAGCTTCTTCTTCTTCTTATTTTTCTTTTTGTCGCCTAGCATCTTCTTCTTGTTTTTCTTGTCGTCGTTTAGCTTCTTCTTCTTGTTTTTTTTCTCGGTGAAGTCTCTTTGTGTGATTGTCACTGCTTGCACTGAGTAGCTGTCCCAGTGTTCACTTACTGTCCAAACTGTCCACACTATTCTGCAATCGGATTTCACTTTTCAGTCCTCGAATTATATTCCACTTCTGACACCAATGTCACGGCTCTCGGGTGCGTGATAAATCTTGAAACTACTAACTAATACCGGCCTTTATGTATCTGTGATCCATTCTTGTAAAATCTAGAACAAACGCGATAATCTCTTTGCCCGAATAAAGCAGTATTTTCTAGATTTCAAGTTGATTCTGTACTGTTCGGCGAAGGCGCCACCGTGACAATATTCTTTTTCTGGCTATATTTTTGTTCTTAAAAACTTGAGAAAAAACTGTTCTAGGCCACACTGTAATGGAATTATTGGTCAAAAATGGCATTGTTTTTATCTTTGTGGTTGGTTATCCTAGACCTGGTTTGATGTCGACTTGTGAACGAGTTGATTTAAGTAGCCATTGTTCTTCAAATCTGACAACTCTGTGTATTTCCTAGTCTAGGAAGTGGAAGTCCTTATTGTTGCATATGGTGGGTGGATGGATACTATGGAATATGAAAGATCCACTGTACTGCATCACTTTCCGCAAAGTAGAGTCCCTTCTCATGGTCAAAATTTGCATTATTATTTTAGTTGGGAATACCTAGGTACCTACATAATTTGCTTGGGAAGACGCGAGTCTGATATGTTTGCAAGGATAACATGACAAGTCCAGCAAAGCTGATGTTGGATTAGACTAGATTAGATTTATTGAACGAAGATAGCGCAGAAGCGTCCTCTAACAAGGCAACTTTGTCAGATTTATTGTTGTATGTCCTGTCTAACCCAGAGCCCAGACCCGTCCTTCTGATAAGACTCCAGAGCCATGAAACTGACCACTCTATATAGCTTGCCAGTTTGGGTTTCTCCTCACTAAGTTTTGTGAACCTGAGCCTTCATAACACTTCGCAATAGCATCACACATGTACGGCAATTTTTTCCGACTCATAGGCTTCTGCCAGGCTCATTGAGTCTGCAATGCTCTGTTAATTGACCTACCATTATCATTACAACCTAAAGCTTCGTTCGATTGACTCCTCTAGGGCTATTTCATACCCTTGCCAATTTGTCCTCCTTGGGTTGCGAAATTTCCTGATTTCCAGCTTTGAAGTTGTAATGTCGAATCTTATATGCCGATTAATAACTTAAACTACCTAACCTGAAACAGCCCCTCTTGCGCAACTTTTAAATCTCCTATGTGACATGTTGAAAAAGTCTCATGTCTCACAAAATTTATTTACATTCGCGGACACTCTATTGACAGGACTATACAACAAGTACCAAGAATGGCAAATTGGTATATGCATTAAGGCTCTGGGTACGTGTTGGACAGCAAGGTATACGAATCCGGGATGTTTCCAAACATTCTGGACTCTTATTGATACAATGGTTCAGGACATAAAATGCGAAACATATATCATAGTATTCTCTTCTGCGCACAAGATATGCCAAATCCAGGTATAAAATAGTCTGATCATTGTCAAGTTCAAAGCTCTTGCAAAGAAGTTTATATTTAGCATATTTTATAAATTTAAGTTGAACATTTTCAAGTACATATTATGTGTATATGAACCTGATCTATGATGACCAAACTATGTTTGAAAATTCCAAAATGTATCGAACCAGCGACGTATACAACACCTTCAAAGCAAATACATTCGTGAAGTCCTTGCTGGTTCTTTTAATGAAACCCAATATTCTATTAGCCCTACCTATTATATACTCGATGTGCTCCATGAACATAAGTTTGGTGTCCAAGTGAACGCCAAGGTCCTTAACAACAAACACTTCAGTGAGAGCGAGATTATTTATGAGATATTTCGCAGGTATAGAAATTCTCAGGAGAGTGAAGCGCATTTGTCGATATTAAGTGACATGTCGTTGAGCTTACACCACTCGTTTACAATATTTAGATCATTTTGCAGGAGAAGCATATCATGAGTTGATGATACTTTCCGAAATATCTTCAAATCATCAGCGAACATTAGAAAATTGGAGGAAAGTAGATTACACAGGTCATTGATGAATGAACTGAATTACAGCGATCCTAAATGAGATCCCTGAGGGACCCCAGATGTAACAGCAAACTCAGTCGAAAGATAACCATCAATTTTTACCTGCTAAATCCTGCCTGATAAATATAACTCCAAGCAAGAAATCAAAGTATACCCCCAATGCCATATCCGGACAACTTTGAGAGTAGGAGACTATGATTGACCTTGTCAAAGGCCCTACTAAAGTCAGTATAAATGGAATGTGTCTCACAAACGTTTTCAAATGATCTATTGATAAAGTTAGTGAATAGGAACAAGTTGGTATCAACGGAGGTAAATCTATGTTGCTGATTAACTATAATTTTGTGAAACGTGATTCAATAAGTGCAGCGCCCTGTTCGTTAAGCTTTGTTTTTAGGCCTCTGACGTTTTGATAGAAGATTGATGCACATTCTAAGTATGACTGTCTCTCAAATTGCGCTGTTGAGAATTCGCTGACCCAACATTATTTACGGTTGCTTGTACTGGGACAGAGTCGCCGGAACCGAGCTCCGGAACGAGTGTACAGCTAATTTTCTTAATGTTGTAAGGAATACAGGTTTTTAGATTGTTGGCATCTGTATGATACAGTAACCCTCCTATATAGACGAGTTAAGTCCTATGACGGTTCCGTTCTTTAGCCACGGCTCCTGTATAAGAGCGATGTCGAGGCGTTCTTTTTGGAACCTTCTACACAGCACGACTGAAGCAGCCTTGGCATGGTGAAGGTTTATTTAGACGACCTTTATGGTATCCATCTTTTTACGGAGCAGGGCTGGGAGAGCGAATCTTTAGTTGGACCTTCTCTTCTTCCATGGCATCCTCCTTTTGCTGGTAGCCTGTATATCTTTTCAGCGGACTGATGCGACTTTGAGTAGGAAGCTCCTCAGTGTCACCCTCTTGTATGTCCTCCGCTACTTCCGTATCGCCGGCCTTCTTCGACGTGCTGGCCCTAGGGTCTACGGTGGTATTTTGGACCTTGTCCTCAGGTTTCTTGGCCTGCTTCTTCCTGAACTTTAGCCTTCAAAAGCCGACGTATAGGAGCTCATGTGCAGTTTTTCAAGACCTTCTAGGGACTCTTTGTCCATGGAGAATGTCCAGAGTTGGCATTTGTTCATTGGAACTGCGCCCCATGAAATCCACAGGCTTGTGTTTAGGCCTCTATTACCCACCGCGAGTTTCTTAAGGATTCTCTCTGTTTCTCCCTTTTCATCCGGGATAAAGACAGTGCAGGTCACTGGCTTTGGTAATGGTAAGTCCTCGCCTGACAGTGCCTTTAACATCGTTTTCAGGGATGTTTTCGTGAGCGCTCGAGATCGCTGATTGGATTTGTTCTTTCCTGTCGGTCGTCATTTGGGCTTCCGGGTGCACTTTATCGGTGTTGAATTTTGGCGTCAATAGTTTTTGAAAGATCACTACCGAGATATGGGAAGTATTCTTTATAGAGGTGTGGCAGGCTGGTAATAGGATTTTTCTCTTAGCCGTGTTCAGTTCTATACTGATGTTTTCGTATGCTTGCCTAAATGCATCTAGAGTAGCAATAGGTCTTCCTCGGTATTTCTCAGGAGAGCGTTAACACATTGAAGCTCACCTCACAAACATTTGTTATGGATACCTGTAAGTCTGCTCAGTTTGAATAGCGCACCATCAGTTCTCTAGGAGATGTCAACGCGCAACGGCAGGTTTTCTTGGATAAGGACTCTGATACCTTTGGTCCACCAGGACCAGAATCAAAGACCATCTCGATTTGTTTCTCTTAGTTCTATCAACTATAATATCTCCCAACATCTATTATTGAAAGCGTTGTCTCCTGTTTCACACTTTGAGGCAGACCTGATTTTTGCTGTTGACTTACTTTTTGCTATTCGCTCTGAAATTTGGTCTCGTAGTTTTCTCTACTCAGGTCCAGTTTTCTTGAAAGTTCTTTTCGATATGTTTCTTACTTTGCCACGCTTTTCCTGTGCTGAACAATTTAAAGTGAAAAAAAAAGAATCAAAATTGCAGGACTAAAGGTGGCAAAATGTGTAAAATTAAAATAGGCAATATAAAATGACAGCAAAGAATACTTGAACTAAAGCTAGTACGATACCAATATGTTCCAAGTGATAGCAACAGGTTCAATTAACCTCGTAGGTCCTGGTTACAGGTTGTAGCTGGTATGGTCAAACCAGTCATAAGGTTCAACAGTACCAAAACAAAGGTATAACCGTCCAAAAAGGTGTAGGCTTTGGTAGAAGCAGCCGTACAACTGTGTAGGCTCCGATGAAGGTTGTCGTACGCTTGAATATGTAGCCTTCAGTTAAAAGGGCTGGCCTTATACTTAAATTTGTGATCGTACGTAAAAACCCTAAAGAAAACCTGTTATTAGCACTCTGTATTTTTAACTTAACTTAATCTTAGCGAAGGCCAGGCACTTTGAAATTAACCACAAGAAAATGAATGTAACGTTAATGTAATTCAACCATTGATAGTTAATCTATTAGGTAAAACTTTTGAAAAATATTTAAATATTTTGTGTATAAAAAGCAGAACTATAATATAGACATGAAAGAAAAGAAACTGTGGTTCAAGTTTGCAAAGAAAACCTGTCGTTATTAGATTATGTCTCACCTGTTGGAATGGGTTTTATTTGCCTCGAAAATACTCTGATTCTGGATTCGAAATTCTCGAGTAAGTGAGGTGGTCTTTACTCTACTCCTTAGGGTAGCTTTTCACTAATGATCGAATAGAGATGGTCAGAATCCACTGTGGGAGAAACGTGCAAAGTAAAATTTATCGAATGGATGGTTGCAAAAATCCGAAATCATCGGTGAAATTATGACACTTTACGAAAACGTAACACAATGTGACTCAATGTACCATAAATTCAATAAGTGAGAAAATTAGGTCCAAGATCCCCTTTAGGGCGAAGACAAAAATTAAATTCTTCAAGAGGGACTCTTTTTTCCGGAACCACCAAACGTGAAAGAGAGAAGCACCACAGGGAATTAGTTAGCTGTTGAGGAATAGAGATGAGGCAAAGTAACGACAAATGTCGAAAATTAATCGGTAAAATTTTTAAGTACCAAAAATTGCGCACAGCAATATAATCAGAGAAAAGTTACAACAGCTGACGACTAACGATAACAACAACAAGTAATTAGCTACTCAATCATAATTTGAATTTGAAGAATACGACATTGAATAGGCAATTCGTGTTTCAAAATGTAAACGCTTAGAAAGGAATGGATGATCCCAAAAACATTACTAATTGAAAAGCCAATTGACAAAAATGAACGACATTTATGCCGTCAGCTGGCACCAATGAACTATAGTCAAAAACTGGAATGCGCACACATTGCCTTATCTGCCAAAAAAATGTAGCCATGAAAGACAGATGCCACAAAGGGGAATGTTATTTTTTTCTGTTGCTCGCTGACATATGACGTTTTGGAAAGTTTTGTCATATTTACCTTCACAGGGTTCATCAATTGGAATACGTGTTGGAAGCAATTTCCGCCATTTAACATAATGAGTGCGACAAAAACAGGTATCCCCTTCGCAGCAGCGGCACTAGGCTTCACGTTCGTCAATATGTGTTCGCATTCCAGTTTTTGGTTATAGTTCATTGGCTGGCACACAAATCACGAGTGACATGACTTGAGTGGTGCTTGAGTGTCACTATAAAATTGGGAGCAAAGATAGCAATCCGGTGGTTTATTGAACCAATGATGGAACCGGATGCAGAACTAAATCTGGTACTGAGTTCAGTAACCGAACAGAGTACGTGGAGCGTACAGTACACACTTCGTGAAGGAATCACGATTTGGAAAACCTAACCCAAGAATAAGAATTATTTGATTTGTTTACATGAAGATAGTCACAAGTGAAAATAGAATTTAAATATTGAAGATTAGAAAATTTTCAGGATCTGCAACTACTGTTGAATTTTTATAAAGGAAAAATGTAAACAAAGTCTAATAAAATCAGGGAAAAATTAAATATCTATAGGAATTTTGAATGGAAAACTGAAAATAAGTGTGAAATAGTTAAAGGCAATTTTGGCACGTTACAACTTGAGCAAAAATACGATCGTCTACCTTACAGAAATTTTATTGGTCGGACCACTCAGTGGTTACGTCCAGTACTCAACTGCTTTGATACGGTCACGTCTTCACATATGCTTTTTATAGGTAGGTAGTTAATTCGTTTTTTTTTTCATTCGGCTGTCTGGATGCCGTCATGTCCTTATGTGTCTTCTCTGCTTTTACCTGGTAAATGTATTTGAACAAAACAGTGTTTTCTATCAAGGTAATGTACCAACATATCTTCTCATTCCTATTTCAAATTTTGTGTGCAGTTCTACTTTGGCCTTCAAGTTTCTGTTTAAGACTATCCGGTTTTTTCCGCGTGTGTGATATCTTCATATAGATAATTGTTCTACAAGATCATCATAACCGGTGGCAGTTGGCGCATAGCAGTTTATCTATTGCATACTGTTCCTTTGATTTCATCTATTCGTTTTGAGATTAAATAAATGCCTTTTTTTTGAAATGACATGATATTTCCTCTCCAAATGTTCAACGTTCCTAACATACGTCGAGATGTTCAGGTGTTGTAGTGTTTTCTCTTAGGGGCTATTTCGTTTCAAACATTGGTCATTGAATGCTACAACTTATGGCCATTACAATCGACAAATCGTACCAAAATTGTTTCTCTCAATGTTATTTCAATGCAATCAAAATTTTCGACTCCTATTAAAATCCTGCGAGACGCATTGCAGACTGCATTAGCAGTAACTGATTGCATTGGATTATCGGTGTAATTGATCGATGGATTCACTCTGGTTGTCAAGTGTACATATTAGCGTAAAATTTTGTTTGTTAAGTATATCAATTACTTCGAAAAAACCTTCCACTATTTGCCATAGTTGACACTATTATTCAATTTGTTTTTTTACAAAATTGCAAAAAGCAGAAATAACTTAAGTCATTGATTGGCATCAGTGTAAATGAGTCTAAATTTCTAGTAAAACAATCAATTACAAGTTCTTTATGTAAATAGTTCCTTACTCAACAATCAAACCAAAGCGAAATCTATTTACACACGTGAAAAAAAGAAGCTTATACTGCTAATCCGTAATGTCGGTGTCTGGTTTATAATACTAATCGTAATCGTATTGTACATGATAGAATAAAAAACTACATGTTATTCGAATCAATTACTCTTAAGTAATTGCCAGGAAAACATTTTGTGAAATGCAAATTTACATGCGAAAAGACTTGTTGTATTGGATTTATATATAAATTCGATAATTTCCAAATAGGCATTTAGTTGGTGTGAAAAAGTCTGAACTCTGAACCGATTTGCATCTTTCTATCTACTCACTTGATAAAACTTTGGTTTATTGACAATTTCTTGTCGTATATACAGAAAGAACCGTTTTATAAGTTCCCTAGAACTCAAGAGTCGATGAATATTCAACAAATGGAGCGTGGCGCCTTTTTCATAAAACTATTAGTGCGGACTAGCGTTGACTACGTGACTGTGACTGCAGTATTTTCATGATCGAGTCTTAACTCTTAAAGGCATAAATCATTTTAAATGTTTCAAAAATAGTTTAATGACTGTTTTATTTGTTAAACAGTTATAAGGCAATTTATGGAGCGACATGCTAAAACTTGTTAAGAAGGATATTGATTGATTGATGAAAATTTAGTCGTTCCTTAAAAAAAACACGGATTATGCTGTTGATTTTATAAGAACGGCGTTTGATGATAGGAAGCTGTGTTCACATGATGATCACGCAGATGCAGTGTTATTATCATATCTACCTTGGAAGTTGATCTGGGTCAGGTCTGATGAATTTTTGCTCTTTGAATTTTTATTGAACCTGGCTGCAGAACAGAATTCTATATGGAGGAATCAAGATACAAAACAAAGTACCTATAGTAAATAAAGGAGATAACCTCTGATTTCTGAACAAAAATTCCTACCTACTAGTAAATTACTTGAATTTTAAGTCAAGAAAAACAAACCCAAATTAGCTTATAATTTATAAATTGCAATGCGGCTTGAGTAATATATTAACTTATTAATTCAGTCTATTGTAAAATATACACACTTACCGCCTTATTCAGCAGGCTTTTAAAACAATGAGCGAAAATCTGATATATAATTACGATAGCTAATTGCGCTGTTGTATAGAATTAGTGCAGTAGAACTACTACAGGTAATTTAATTTGCTGCTGCAACTTCCTAGAAAACCAGGGGCCCCGGCGCGTTTTCTTGACGGTTTTGGTTTTATTGGCAATATCTCTTTAGTATTTTGTAGTGGCCGGCAATTTTTCGAAAAGAAATAGGTTATACGCTTTATAGGATGTTGCTTTGCTTTCGTTTCAAGATTTAATTTTATGTATTGGAAAAGATTTACCTAACGATAGTGGCGATTTGAATTTTATTTATTATCTTTGATCTATCGGACGTTTATTTCTAATCAATAAATTATAGAGTGAAGATATAATACCTTTTTATCTTCTTGCTTTGCAATTCTAAGATATCATTCTGAAATGCTGTAGGTAACTAGTTTGTTCATTATAACATCGGAGAAACGCATTTTCTTAAACGTTCTTCAGCCTGATCGAAAATAGTCCTACACGTCTCATCCGATAGTACCTCATCGAATATTTCGCTTTTTTTCATCCAACGTATGCGTGTTGCAATGGATTCCTTTAAATGTCAACGACATAAAATAAAGACCAATTCGAACGAACAATCGCATTACTCAATGATTGGAATATAAACGCAGGTACGGCACAAACTTGCCGTACCCTAGTTTCATATCCCAAGAAAAAAGAAAAAAGTTACCTATCCATTTCGGATTTGGCTAAATACCACGGATGCTTTAGAGTTGAATTCAATAGACTATCTAATCTTCTGGTATAATTTGAATATAGGACCCATTAGTATTATTGTAGATCCTAATCTCTGCTAAAAATAGCTCCCAGATTATTCCTCCTAACAAATCGTTTATATCTAGAATATATTTAATTTTATTATCTTTTTTGTTTTAGGTGAGTGGTCCTTTTTGATCCGATGGTTGCCGACATAACGGGTAATTGGTGAGTGTTTGTTTGGTAAATAGATTAAGAATTTATGTAATAGGGTGGAGTTAGAGTATATCGGATGCAAGTACCGAAAGTATGTGCTTATGAAGTTATTGATGAATAGATAGATATTGCAAAAATTGTCAGATTTGATTGGCTAGCCCATTGGAAATTTATCAAATAAAAACAATAAAATGAAAATGTTCCAAAAGAATGTGTGTTTTATCATCTCGCTATTTTATATGAAGTATGCCATAAATTGTAGGAATGAAAGGTAGTAGACCTACGGCCGAGAAGCAAATAAGTCACCTCATCGGGTACAAAAGTTTCGAGTTTCTTGGATGAAAGTACTTTATGTGCATATCTCAAAATCAGCCGTCTGCCGGGGTCCAGCGGTCAACTTCACAAATGACAGCGCGACAAAAAGACGAAAATCTGGATTTTCTCACCTCATTGGCACATGCCTAAAAATTTCAGAATGTGTAAGGGAAAAGCTCCTAGATACCTAATTCGGCCGGCAGACGTCGATATTTGGACGCCTATATAAAGCAGACGCCCGCCGCGACGCCGAAAATCTGACGTAAGTTACCTTATGAGGTACATATGCAAATTTGGGCTTAAATGAAAGGTATTTGTGTGTAGAGTAAACAAATATTTTTTAAAATTCGGCAGACTGTCCACAACAAGTCGCAGACACTCTAGAACATTTAGATTTTGTTGTTAATACAGCATAAAATAAGAAATATTTAATAAATAACTACAAATTTATTAACAAAATAAATAATTCTGGCCAAATTATAGGCATGTGCGTTACCTAAAAACTACAAAATAAAACATATTCATAAAAAAAAATTGAACAGTTGCGAAACTTTTTATAAGAGTAGAAGCTAGTAGATACCTATTGTAGATATCTACTCCTTTAAACTTAAAAAGCTACATCATGTAAAGGAGTAAATAGGAGCTTTAGAGAGTCGAAAACAGTCAGAAAATATAAACTTAAATATAGATAGATACAAACGAAAAATACGTAAAATAAAACAGGTACAAAAGACGAAAAAGTGAATAGGAACTCTCAGCATTCAAAAATAATAAAAATGCCACATATAGAAAATCCAAAATTTCAGAAATCTAACCAGAAAGTAGTGAAATATGACTTAGAGTCAAGAAACTCTTCGACTGCATCATACTTAAAACAAAATAATATTACCTAATAAAAATATGGCACGAGCTGAAAAGCTTGTAGTGCATGTTAAGGACACTTTCAGCAAAATATAGGAAAAAATGACAAAATAATATCTGAAAAATAATGATATTAAGATTCTTTTTTAAATTTTTTGGGTATCAAATCAATTTCTATTGTTCATCATCAGAAGAATCATGCATTATCCCTTCAATTTCATCGTCCATATCGTCGGTATAAAAATTAGATATTGAGCGTGATAAACGAGCTAATTTATATGAAAGTAGTATGGAATTCTTAATTCAGGGTTCTGAACAACAACGTCCATCAGATTTTATGAAGGCAATGCGAAACGACAATTTTAAACAGTCCTTGATCAAATTTTTATGTCAGTTTTGGCAAAATGATATGTTTCTGAAATTGTAAGTAATAAAACTATATAGGTATGTCAATTGCAATAACGATTGTTACAAATTTACTGTTGTCCCAGGACATATATCATATGTACCAGGTGTCCCACTAAGGTCGGCCAGGTACGATATTATGGAAACCATAGACCTTACGGCTTCGGAATTTTTTTTTTCTTCACTAAATCGGCCAAGATAAATTGATGGCAATTATTTTCAAGTTTCTAGGATGACCGCTAGGGGGCGCAATTACGATGATATAGCTAAAAATTCAACTTTTCTCAAGAAATCACTATATTAAGATACTGTTTTAACAACAGAAATCAGAAGTTCATTAATTTTTGCGCCAGTTTGGTTATTAGGCTTTTTTTCGTATCTTCAGTAATAAGGGTGGGGGAAACTGGTGAATTTTTTTTTAGAAATTGCTTCCATACCCCTCATTCAAACTCATTAAATTTGGGTTTATTTGGAAGAGAATTTCATTGTTATTGAGAGCACCATTTCGTTCGAGGTCGATAGTTCCCACCGCGTTTTCTAGAGGGCGCTGTTTATTCAAGATCAAGTTTTTTCTAATTTTCATGAAAAATCCAAATGGCATGATATTATTTTTTTATTGCTGTGCTTGAAGAGCAAAAAAATATCTACATTTTGGCGCAAACCGCAATTCAATATCTGCATTCGTTTTCAAGTTACGTAAGGTTTATGGTCTCCATAATATCGTACCTGGCCGACCTTAGTGGGACACCCTGTATACATAGAGAAATTGTTGATACCTTCAAGTGTTTCCATGAAGAAGCTGACAGCCGAATAATCTTTCATTTGTCAAAAATTGAAGCAAATACCGCAAATAATAATGCGGTACTTCGTGGTTCTGACACTGCTAGGGAATCTACACAAAATTAATAAAAACGTCAGTTTGGTTGGAGTTGTATCTGAATGGGATCTGGGATCCAGCATGTACAAATCTCTACCAACTTTTCATACTTCTACTGAATGTAATTATACCGCATCCTTTTCCAGAAAAGGCAAGCTGAAGCCTTTTCGTATAGGACCAGAAACTACAAGAAGTAGGTACTATATGCTGGCATTTCGAAAGAGCAAATTGAATCTATAGAAAGGTTTATCTGTGCAATGTACGGAAAACCCGGGGGAAAACCCAATTTGTGCAATATCAATGATGCTCGATTCAATATTTTTTACGATCATTGTAACCCCAAACCAAATTAAAGTCCGTTCAAGAATCTTAACACGGTTTTGCATGGTGGTAACATCGTACTATCAAAATCAGATACATAGTTCTATCAAAAAAGATACTAGATACCAATTTATTGAAGACTGCACTTACGTCAACAAATCTACAGGTATTTTTAGATGCAACTCCAACCTCCATTCATACATTGACGTTTTTATTAGGTAATTTTGTGTAGATTGGTATGTCAGTGTTAGATCCACGATCTACCACATTAGTATTTGCGTTATTTGCTTTAATTTTTGACAAATGATAGACTTCTTCATGGAAACACTTGAAGGTATCAACAATTTCTCTATGTATATGTCCTTCGAACTGGTATATAGGAATTTGATCAAGGATTGTTAAAAATTGTCATTTCGCATTGCCTTCATAAAATCTGATGAAAGTTGTTGTTCAGAAGCCTGAATTAAGAATTCCATATACTTTCATATAAATTTGCTCGTTTATCACGCTCAATATCAATATGTTACTGACTTACTGATTTACCAGATAATTTTTTGTAACTCCTGTTAGTTCCTATCTATTAATTGGGCATTTGTGCCTGTTGGGTAGGTTTTTGGTAAATAAATAAATAAATAAATAAATAAATAAATATCTTATTTTTATACCGACGATATGGACAATGGAATTGAAGGGATAATGCATGATTCTTCTGATGATGAACAATAGAAATTGATTTGATACCCAAAAAATTTAAAAAAGAATCTTAATATCACTATTTTTCAGATATTATTTTGTCATTTTTTCCTATATTTTGCTGAAAGTGTCCTCAACGCATGCACCACAAGCTTTTCAGCTAGTGCCATATTTTTACTAGGTAATATTATTTTGTTTTAAGTATGATGCAGTCGAAGAGTTTCTTACTCTAAGTCATATTTCACTACTTTCTGGTTAGATTTCTGAAATTTTGGATTTTCTATATGTGGCATTTTTATTATTTTTGAATGCTAAGAGTTCCTATTCACTTTTTCGTCTTTTGTACCTGTGTTATTTTACGTATTTTTCGTTTGTATCTATCTATATTTGAGTTTATATTTTTTGACTGTTTTCGACTCTCTAAAGCTCCTATTTACTCCTTTACATGTTATGTAGCTTTTTAAGTTTAAAGGAGTAGATATCTACAATAGGTATCTACTAGCTTCTACCTTTCTAAAAAGTTTCGCAACTGTTCTATTTTTTTTTTTATGAATATGTTTTATTTTGTAGTTTTTAGGTAACGCACATGCCTATAATTTGGCCAGAATTATTTATTTTGTTAATAAATTTGTAGTTATTTATTAAATATTTCATATTTTATGCTGTATTAACAAAATCTAAATTTTCTAGAGCGTCTGCAACTTGTTGTTGACCGTCTGCCGAATTTTAAAAAATATTTGTTTACTCTACACACAAATACCTTTCATTTAAGCCCAAATTTGCATATGTACCTCATAAGGTAACTTACGTCAGATTTTCGGCGTCGCGGCGGGCGTCTGATTTATATAGGCGTCCAAATATCGACGTATGCCGGCCGAATTAGGTCTCTAGGAGCTTTTCCCTTACACATTCTGAAATTTTTAGGCATGTACCAATGAGGTGAGAAAACCCAGATTTTCGTCTTTTTGACGAGCTGTCATTTGTGAAGTTGACCGCTGGACCCCGGCAGACGGCTGATTTTGAGATATGCACATAAAGTACTTTCATCCAAGAAACTCGAACCTTTTGTATCCGATGAGGTGACTTATTTGCTTCTCGGCCGTAGGTCTATAGATATTTTTTCAACTATCTCTATACTCTATGTAAGATTTGGCGCTACGAGACTTGTTTTTTTTTATATATAAAATTTCGTATAAATTATGTTATCTTTAGTAAGTCTATGTTTTTAGAGACACCTTCCATGACTACGATGTGATTCCGATTCCCTGCCGTATTCCTCTTTATGGGAATACTATCGGTCTTCCAATCCTTATCTACTTTCAATAGAATTGTGTAGTACTGTGGTAGTACCGAATACCTTGCGAATGTCTGCCTGTTTGACTGTTTGGTATGAAACCATTTTGTTATACAGCTGATTTATTTATTTTCTCTTGCCACTTATAGAAGTACTTTTCTGTTGTTTTGGGTATGCTTTTTTTTCAAGGTAAAAATTACTTCAACAATTTACCATTTGTTTGTGATTCTTCATTCCGTCAAACAT